CCAGTCCAACCCCCCCTGCCATGCAGGAAATCCCAATCAAAGCATCCCCAAGAGTTGATGACAAGAGTATGCTAATGTGTGCTTCATTATGCCTTCTCCAAAAGGTGGTGGACGATAGTTCTTTCAATATTTTCAAAGAGAGGTTAGATCATGACCACCTCTGAAGGGAATTGGAAAGTACCCCCAAAGACCAGTTACTCCAAGCCCATGCTTTACCTTTGAATTTCTTGCATTGGCATGGGGTTGGACTAGCTAGTCTTTGGGGGTACTTTCCAATTTCCAATTTGATTATTCTATTATTTTATTTTGGTACCTTGGCTTCTTTGCTTGCTTACCTGTTTTCAGGCCAAGATTGGGCTGCCTTTTTTATTAAAAAGGTTTTAATTGCTTTGCATTGTTTCAGTTATTTCAATACAGCATGCTGGAAACAGTTGGGATGGGGTGCATGATTTCAAAATGTTTTAGCAGATAAAATAAAATAAAGGTGTATGATTAAATATATATTGCACAGGTAGGGAAAGAGTAGCTCTGGAGCCTCGTGTAATACTCCCCCTCAAGCTGTTTTTGTGGTCCTTCAGTCTTTTTTTCTGAATAAAACCAAAATGATGTTGAGCCTCTCCTGGAAGCCTCCAGAGGTAGTGGATGATGCTTTTCAGAAGAAGAAGAAAAATCTCAGAAATCTCAAACATACAAGAATTAGGAGTTATGCGGGACTTCAATTACTCTGATATCTGCTGGGAGTTTGACTCTGCCAAGCATAGGCTCTCCAACAAATTCCTGATGTACCTTGAATATAATTTCCCATTTCAAATGGTGGAGGAAAGGAATCTATAGTTCTGCATTCGGTCTTAACCAACGGGGAATCAATTTGGAATCAACTGGAATCAAAGCAGTTGGTACTTTTGGGGGGAAGTGACCATGTTATGCTAGAATTTGCAATTGTGGGACAGAGCAAAGATTTCAGGAAAACTGATTTTTGACAAGTTCGGGGAAATATTGGGTGGAATCCCTTGGCTAGAGATGCTAAGATCCCCAGCAAGAGTGAGCGTTCTTGGAGAAGGAGTTGCAAAAAGCACAGTCAAAGAAAGCGGGAAACATCTGAAAAATCCAATGTGGCTGCACAACAAATTCAAGGAGGAAGTGAAAAGAAAAGAAAAGAAAAGAAAAGAAAAGAAAAGAAAAGAAAAGAAAAGAAAAGAGCATGCATGGAGGATGGAAGGAAGGGTGAACTACCAAGGAAGAGTGAAGATGTGCAGCCCAAGCTTTCAGAAATAGCATAAAGAAAGGCAAAGCTCAGAATGGTCTGAGACTGGCTAGGCAACCAAGCAGCACCAAAAAGGGTTTTTTTCAGATACATTTGAGTTTAGAGAATGAACCAGGGGACAGTGAAATGCTAACAGCTCACAAAGGAAAAGTAGAACTTGCTTAGTACCTGCTCTGCCTCAGTGATCCCCCCAAAAGAAAACTGCTTCCATGCAGCATCAGAGACCTTAGCAAGGGATCTGGATTGCAGTTGATCTGGGTTGAACCTACATGAGTTCAACTTTGCAGGACCAGATAAACTGCATCCCAGGGTACTGAAGGGACTCGCTGAACCACTTGCCATAATTTTTGAGAAATCTGGGAGAACAGGTGAGGTGCCACTGAACTGGAGAAGGGCAGACATTGTCCCTTTCTTTGAAGGATAAAAAAAAAATCCAGGAGACCACAGAGTAGTCATCCCAACCTCAATACCAAGAAAAATATTAGAATGGGTTATACAGGAGTGTGGCTGCAAGTATCTTGATGACAATGCAGTGATCAGCGGGAGCCAGCAATGGTTTGTCAAGGACAAATCCTTCCAAACTAAGATTATACCTTTTTTAAAATTTCATCACTACATTAGTAGATGGTGGGAATGCTGCGGATGTCATTTATCTGGTTTCAGAAAAGCATTTGATAAAATCCCCCCTATGACATTTTTATTAACAAACTGATTAAATGTGGAATCAATTGGAATACTGTCAACAAGGCACAGCAATAGTCATTTGTGCAAAACAAAATCTGCACAATTTGTGCAAAAAAATAATAATAATTTGCTTGGCTTCAACTCCCTGCCCTGTCTTGCAAATACAGGGGTGGACAGTGGATCCTCCCACAGCTGCTCTGGGTTTAATGGCACCCTGTCAGGATTTTCCCAAGCAAAAATATTTGTCTCTATCACTTACAGAACAAAGGCAACATGAACAAACCTGACTTTTGTAAAATTCTATGACCCGTATAACTAAATAACAACAAAACCAAAAATCTATTCTACCGGCTTCTTCATCAGGCAAAAGATGTTTTTTTAAAAAATCATATGGGAGATGAAAAGTGATGATGGTAGAGTCACAGGCCTACACTTTCTATCAGATGTTGTTTCTGTTGTAGATCGGTTGTTCTGGAGGGATCTCAACGCAGGCAAAAGCCGTTCCCCCACTTGGCCATAGGGAAAAAACCTGTGGAGCTTTGCAAGCCTGCATGATGTATTTTGTGCATTTTGGTTGGCCAATAAATCCACTCTTTTGTGGATTTTTGATTTTGTCGTATTTTGCTGAATGGCCAACATGGCTCCTCTTGAATGTGTTTTGTAAACAATTAATGTAACTATGCGATGCAACAGCTACAAAAGCTATGCAGATCTGAGCTGCATCAACAGGAGCATAGTATCCAGCTCAAGTGAAGTAATTTATTGTTGTGTGTCTTCAACTCGTATCCAACTTATGGTGATCCTAAGGTGAACCTATCATGGGGTTTCCTTGGCAAGGTTTGTTCAAAGGACGTCTGCCATTGCCTTCCCCTGAGGCTGAGAGAGAACCACTTGCCCAAGGTCACCCAGTGGGTTTCATGGCAGAGCAAGGAATCGAACCCTCATCTCCAGAGTCATAGTCCAACGCTCAAACTACTGTGCCACACTGGCTCTCTGCCACTCTGTTCTGCTTTGGTCAGACCTCACCTGGAGGCATCCTGTGTCTAGTTCTGGGCACCACAAATCAAGAAGGAGGTTGATAAATTGGAACATATCCAGAGAAGGGCAGCCATGATTGTCAAAGGTCTGGAATCCACCAAGCCCTATGAGGAATGACTTTAGGGAGTTGGATAACCTTGGTTTGGAGAAGAGGAGACTGAGAGGTGGCATGGCAGCTTGTTTTCTGCTGCTCCAGAGACTGGAACTTGGACCAACGAATTCAAATTACGAGAAAGGAAATTCCACCTAGTGTTAGGAAGAACAGTCTGGTGATAAAACAGTGGAATAGGATAACCTCAGAGTGTGCCCCCCTTCCTTTCAGGTTTTCAAACAAAGGCAGAATTCCCACCTCTCAGGGATACTCATGTGATGCATTCCTACAGGGCAGGATGACAGGCTAGATGACCTTTGTGGTTCCTTCCAGCTCTATGATTCTGTGAACCTATCCCACGTTGTGGACTGTCATTCATCTATCCATGGAAGTATGTCATTCCTCTATCCATCGGAGTATGTTATTCATCTATCCATTGGGACATGTCTACATTTCTTATGGGCCTTCATATTGTCCCCGACTTATGGTGAGCCTAGCAGAGGGATTTCTCAGCAAGATTTGTTCCAAGGAGGTTTGCCATTTCTTTCCTCTGTCTACACGCTGCAAACATAAACCCAGGTGGACTGTTTCTCTCTGGAAAGGAAACCTGGCAATTCTGTGCAACTTCAAATTGCAAGAGAGAGGAGTGAGTTTGGGGAGTGCTAAACCGACGCCAACTTGCTTCCCATTTTGTAGGGTTGGACGTGGGCCAAAAAGCGTGGGTCAAAAAGCAATAATAAAGTGGAAATGAGGCATTCTGAAAATAAACCAAAAATAAACCTTGATTCCGCAAATGGCTTTCACTCGTAATTACCTTAATTGCGAAATTACAGTAAGCGCATTTTAACGTTCACGCACAAGCGAGAAAAGCCCGTAAATGTACTAGAAATGATCTTCTTGCACATGCGCAGATAGAGGAATGCTCGCCATGGAACCATGGGAAAAGCAGGGAAATGCTCCCAAATGCGCATTTGCTTTTCACATTACGGTAAATGCAAAATTACCTTAATTTCGCATTTGCATTTCCTCCAAACAACCAAATTTCAAAAGATCTCAGTTAATACCAGGTTCTGTCCACTTTCTGTCCAGTTTCTGTTCGACGTTGTGTGAAAACACGGGCACAAATCCCGTTTCTCTTTGGGATTTGTGTGGATTAACCAGCAGATTTGCCCCCGTGTGATAACGTCTGTTGACTTGTGTCCTTGGAGGGACATGGGCACCTGTTAAACAGCCAGGAGGGATGTGCCGGCCATTTTGCTTGCTGTCTTTATTTCAGACCACAAAACAAAGACACAGAGAGATGCGTCCCCCTCCTCTCCCCCATCTCTCTTTTAACTCCCTCCTTTTCTTTTTCTTTTTCTTTTTCTTTTTCTTTTTCTTTTTCTTTTTCTTTTTCTTTTTATTCTCTTTGCTTTCAGAGATGCTCTTTCTGGCTCCCATGCCTCTCTGCAGTCCTAAAAACCGGGGTCTATTTTCCATACATATGTTCCACATAAAACTTGCCCGGCAAGATGTAAAAGGTATTTAAAGTATAAATGTCACAGCATTTATGCGCTCTCCGGTGCAATAGATTATGAAGAGGAGATAAACTATCTTCTGTCATAACAGTCCGTCCTGTCGGGGACGTGGAAATTGCCTGGCGGTTATCCTATTTCTCCTGATTATTGCTTTCTCTGGGGTGGAGGTTTTTGCGGGGAGAGGGAGATTGAACGTTCCTGGGAGCTCAAGAGGAAGAAAATGTCTGCAGAGGGCAGGAGGCAGCTGTAGTCTGTGTGAATCCTGTCCTCAGGATGATGGGCTTTAGAGTCCTTGCCAGTACGATGGTCAAATGCTAACAGCTGCCCAGTGACCTAGGAAGGGCTACTGCATGGTCAGGAGGCCCTGCTAGATAGTTGATGCTTGATGCTTGGGCCTGGCAATCCAAGGATAGGGAGGAGGCTGGGAACAGACCAGGAGAACGAATTTCCTTGTGGGGCGCCTGGCTCAGATGGTTCTCTTATCTATTAGGATGAGAGATGGGTCCTGTCTGCGCAGATCCATTATTTCGTTCTGCTATCTAACCTTGTGGATCCATCTTCCAGTTGCCTCACCAGAAAACAAGCTTGCTCCATCCTCAATATGACATCCCTTCAAATATTTAAACCGGGCTATCATAGAATCATAGATCTGGAAGTGACCCCAAGGGCTATCCACTCCAACCCCATTCTGCCATGCAGGAACTCAAAATCAAAGCATCCCAAATGACAGGTGGCTATCCAGCCTCTCCTTAAAGACCTCCAAAGAAGGAGACTCTACCACTCTCCATTGAAGGAGTGTGTTCCAATGTCAAACAGCTCTTGCTGTCAGGATATTCTTCCTAATGTTGAGCTGAAATATTTTTCTATCACTTGAATCCATTGCTCTGTGTTCTAGTCTCTGGAGCAGCAGAAAACAAGCTTACTCCATCCTCAATAAGACACCCCTTAAAATATTGATACAAAGCTATCAAATCGCCTCTTAACCTTCTGTACTCCAGGCTAAACATGCCCAACTCTCTTAAGCCATTACTCCTAGGGCTTGATGGTTTCCAGACCCTTCATCCTAATAATAATAATAATAATAATAATAATAATAATAATAATAATAATAATAATAATTTATATCCTGCCCCTCTGCAGAGCAATCGGGGCGGCTTACAACATTTTGGTCACCCTCCTCTGAACATCCTTCAGCAGCTTCTCAACATCCTTTTTGAATTTGGAAGCCCAGAACTGGTCTTTTGGGAACAAATGGTGGCGAGTAATCTTTCCTTTCGTGTGCATGTGTCTTCAAGCCGCCTGCAAACTTATGGTGACCCCATTTTCTTAGCCTAGCAATGCTCAGAGGTACGGTAGTTTTGCCAGTCCCCTATAACTCCCTTTAAGGCTGCTTCCACACTGCAGAACTAATGCAGTTTTGACGCTGCTTTAATGGCTGTGGCTCCTTCCTATGGAATCCTGGGATATGTAGCTGGTTGTAGCATCAGAGAGAGCCAGCATGGCATAGTGCTTTGAGTGTTTGACTATGACTCTAGAGACCAAGGTTTGATTCCCAGTTCAACCATGAAACCCACTGAGTGACTTTGGGCAAGTCACATTCTCTCAGCCTCATCGGAAGTCACACATTGTCAGCCCCAGAAAACCCCATAATAGGTTCATCTTAGGGAGGCCATAAGTCAGAAATGACTTGAAGGCACAGAACAACAACAATTGACTAGTAAACTCAGTCAAAGATTAACCAACCAGTCAACCAACCACTAATTGATCTATCTATCTAATAATAATAATAATAATAATAATAATTTTTATTTATAGCCTGCCTC